GTAGAATTAAAAACTTGAATGAAAATATTGGCAGAATACGCCTCTCATCAACACTTTTTTGCTCCTGGCGGTATAACCTGGGCGCTTGACTCGGTGTACTGGAGCTGCCGTCCACTTCTTTCGATCAAGTCTGACTTTCTAGTATTCCCCAGAAACTCTATGACCTTTATAGGTTCGGCACTCCCCCGTGGATATATAATAAGTGTGTAGGGAGAACCCGTGTCGAGGGAGAGACACAGTTATTTGGTTGTGTCTGTTATCCTGTTACTTGTTTGTGTGTGATATTCTGAGAGTGACTCTCTGTTTTGTTGTTTAACAAGACTAAGATTCACTCAAGATTAAGAGTTGTGTTTTTCGAACACTTGCGTTTATTCACGTATTCAGGGTATTTATCATTGGATAGTTAGATTTAATTAGGTAGGATTAATATTATTGGTTACCTACCTCTAATGATCTTTAGGTCCTTTTGTATACTCAAGTCTTGTCATCGCTAGCTAGCCTGGAACCTAATTGGCTCATCATAAGTTCGCACAAACTTCTAATTGGCCGGATTTCTGCGCCCTCACAAGGTGAGAGTAGCGTTGCCAAGGAAGCAAAAGGAGTCTCTTGTGCTACTGTTTTGTCTATTTGTGGTTCTCCTCTCAGTTATCCTGTGTTCTGACGTCTCTCTCAGCTGTCCTGTGTTCTGACATCTCTCTCAGCTGTCCTGTGTTCTGACATCTCTCTCAGCTGTCCTGTGTTTGACGTCTCTGTCAACATCCCTGAGTTTTACTGTTTACTTCGGTGTCATAGTTCTTCAGTCCTGAGCTTCCCAGTGAAGGGTGTTCCGTGTTGTCATTTTGAGGAAGGTCGAATGGAGCAGCCGTAGTGAGTGGATAAACCCTCTTTTCATCAGATCATACGAGATTACTACTTATCTACCTATCACTGCAATCTTCTCTTGCATTCTGGTGCAGTGTTCCTTTGAGGTCACTGGAAAAGAACTGCATCCCAAAGTTTACTGACACAAACGCTTCACTTACGAGACTGGAGATTCATGGTCCCTGGTACCTACACAGAATCCGGCTAATCCTGACGTGTTACACCGATTCCATAATTCTTCCGTACCTGTATTATCAACCATTAATCGGGAGCCAGTTATTGTACGGTACACAGAAGTAGACAGTGAAGATACGTTATTTGGTCTTCGTGACTGGGAGATGCAACCAAGATACATAATGTGGGTTATGGCATTTTATTATGAAGACGTTTCACCCACCAGGGATTATATCAATAAAGTTTCTGATGGACGAAATGTCTTCACAGTGACATATAACCAGAGTTGTGTGTCTTATTAACATACTATTAGTATTTTGTACCAGTATATCACCTGACGGAACGAAGACGTAACAGGGAAGTAGTGTATCTGACTCAAGATATGGTAATAACATAACTGCAGACAACTGCCCTGAAATTTTACGACTCACTTGCCCTGGGTTCTAACGCCTGGGTTCTAACCCCTGGGTTCTAACCCCTGGGTTTTAACCCCTGGGTTCTAACATTCCAAAGTTCAGTATTGTGTGCTCTATTTTCTCAATTAAAACTGCAGGCTCGGGAAATTTATGTAAATAGTGTTTTTTTTTTCCCTCGATATTTATATTCTGTAATCGTTTTGCGTTTCGTACCCCATTAGAGGGGAGCTTTAAAAAATAAAATTATATGTAAAGGCTTTAATGTGGTAGTGAGCTCAGTATTTTGACAAAGTTCTAAATCGACTGTTTAAAGTGTGGTAATATTATGCACACACACACACACACACACACACACACACACACACACACACCACACACACACACACACACACACACACACACATACACACACACACACACACACACACACACACACACACACACACACACACACACACACACACACACACACACACACACACACACATACACACACACAGGAGCAGGAGGCCAAGAGAGGAGTACGAAGAAAACAACAGGGTGATGGTGGACACACTGGCTGAGGTGGCAAGAAGAGCTCACTCGAGCAGAGCAAAGTTACTGGTAATGGGCGATTTCAACCACAGGGAGATCGACTGGGAAAACCTGGAGCCACATGGGGGTCCCGAAACATGGAGAGCCAAGATGATGGATGTGGTACTTGAAAACCTCATGCATCAACATGTCAGGGACACAACCAGAGAGAGAGGGGAGGATGAGCCAGCAAGACTGGATCTTGTGTTCACCCTGAGCAGTTCAGACATTGAGGACATCACTTACGAGAGGCCCCTTGGAGCTAGCGATCATGTGGTTCTGAGTTTTGACTATATAGTAGAGTTACAAGTGGAGAAGGTAACAGGAACTGAAGGGGACAGGCCAAACTATAAAAGGGGAGACTACACAGGTATGAGAAACTTCCTGCAGGAGGTTCAGTGGGACAGAGAAATGGTAGGAAAATCAGTAAACGAGATGATGGAATATGTGGCAACAAAGTGCAAGGAGGCAGAGGAAAGTTTTGTTCCCAAGGGAAACAGAAATAATAAGAGGACCAAAACGAGTCCTTGGTTCACCCGAAGGTGTAGGGAGGCAAAAACTAAGTGCAACAGAGAATGGAAAAGGTACAGGAGGCATAGGACCCAGGAAAATAAGGAGATTAGTAGAAGAGCCAGAAACGAGTATGCACAGATAAGGAGGGAGGCCCAGCGACAGTATGAAAACGACATAGCATCGAAAGTCAAATCTGACCCGAAATTGCTGTATAGCCACATTAGGAGGAAGACAACAGTCAAGGACCAGGTGATAAGGCTGAGGAAAGAAGGTGGAGAACTCACAAGAAACGATCAAGAGGTATGTGAGGAGCTCAACACGAGATTTAAGGAAGTATTTACAGTAGAGACAGGAAGGACTCTGGGGGGACAGACCAGATGGGGACACCAGCAAGGAATACACCAACAAGTGTTGGACGACATACATACAGATGAGGAGGAGGTGAAGAAACTGCTAAGGGACATCGATACCTCAAAGGCAATGGGACCGGACAACATCTCCCTGTGGGTCCTTAGAGAGGGAGCAGATATGTTGTGCGTGCCACTTACCACAATCTTCAACACATCCCTGGAAACTGGGCAACTACCTGAGGTATGGAAGACGGCAAATGTAGTTCCCATTTTTAAAAAAGGAGACAGAAAAGAGGCACTGAACTATAGACCTGTGTCATTGACGTGTATAGTATGCAAAATTATGGAGAAGATTATCAGGAGGAGAGTGGTGGAGCACCTGGAACGGAACAGGAGTATAAATGCCAACCAGCACGGATTCACGGAAGGCAAATCCTGTGTCACAAACCTTCTGGAGTTTTATGATAAAATAACAGAAGTAAGACAAGAGAGAGAGGGGTGGGTTGATTGCATCTTCTTGGACTGCAAGAAGGCCTTTGACACAGTTCCTCACAAGAGATTAGTGCAGAAGCTAGAGCATCAGGCGCATATAACAGGAAGGGCACTGCAATGGATCAGAGAATACCTGACAGGGAGGCAACAACGAGTCATGGTACGTAATGATGTATCACAGTGGGCACCTGTGACGAGCGGGGTCCCACAGGGGTCGGTCCTAGGACCAGTGCTATTTTTGGTATATGTGAACGACATGACGGAAGGGTTAGACTCAGAAGTGTCCCTGTTTGCAGATGATGTGAAGTTAATGAGGAGAATTAAATCTGATGAGGACCAGGCAGGACTTCAAAGAGACCTGGACAGACTGGACACCTGGTCCAGCAAATGGCTTCTCGAATTTAATCCTGCCAAATGCAAAGTCATGAAGATAGGGGAAAGGCACAGAAGACCACAGACAGAGTATAGGCTAGGTGGCCAAAGACTGCAAACCTCACTCAAGGAGAAAGATCTTGGGGTGAGTATAACACCGAGCATGTCTCCGGAAGCACACATCAATCAGATAACTGCTGCAGCATATGGGCGCCTGGCAAACCTGAGAACAGCATTCCGATACCTTAGTAAGGAATCATTCAAGACACTGTACACCGTGTATGTCAGGCCCATACTGGAGTATGCAGCACCTGTTTGGAACCCGCACTTGATAAAGCACGTCAAGAAACTAGAGAAAGTACAAAGGTTTGCGACAAGGTTAGGGAAATCGGCCTGACGACACTGGAGGACAGGAGGGTCAGGGGAGACATGATAACGACATATAAAATACTGCGTGGAATAGACAAGGTGGACAAAGACAGGATGTTCCAGGGAGGGGACACAGAAACAAGAGGCCACAATTGGAAGTTGAAGACACAAATGAGTCAGAGAGATAGTAGGAAGTATTTCTTCAGTCATAGAGTTGTAAGGCAGTGGAATAGCCTAGAAAATGACGTAGTGGAGGCAGGAACCATACACAGTTTTAAGACGAGGTTTGATAAAGCTCATGGAGCGGGGAGAGAGAGGGCCTAGTAGCAACCGGTGAAGAGGCGGGGCCAGGAGCTAGGACTCGACCCCTGCAACCACAAATAGGTGAGTACAAATAGGTGAGTACACATACACACACACACACACACACACACACACACACACACACACACACACACACACACACACACACACACACACACACACACACACACACAGAAACAAAGGGTTACAATTAGAAGTTGAAGACTCCGATGAGTCAAAGGGATGTTGGGAAGTATATCTTCGGTCATAGAGTTGTCAGGAAGTGGAATAGTCTGGCAAGTGATGTAGTGGAGGCAGGAACCATACATAGTTTCAAGACGAGGTATGATAAAGCTCATGGAGCAGGGAGAGAGAGAGCACCTAGTAGCAATCAGTGAAGAGGTGGGGGCCAGGAGCTGTGACTCGACCCCTGGAACCACAACTAGGTGGGTACACACACACACACACACCTTTGAAAACAATGATATTCCTTTGTGATGAAGGCTGACATGTGTACCGTTGACAGTGACTGGCAGTCATTGGCTATATATGCTGATATGACATTTTCTCCGGCCAGAGCTGATGGCGGTGCCAGGTGACGTAGGATCAGCTGGGTTGAGTGGTGGTGGTGGTGGCAGCGGTCTGGGTGACGGACGCTTGCTTGTGGCAGATCTCAGACACCATAACTTTGATGCTATCCGCTTCGCTTCATACCGCACTGCTGCCAAGCTCCGCTTCGTACAGAAGAAAACGAATAGTAAGTATTGCTACAGATATCTCTCTCTCTCTCTCTCTCTCTCTCTCTCTCTCTCTCTCTCTCTCTCTCTCTCTCTCTCTCTCTCTCTCTCTCTCTCTCTCTCTCTCTCTCTCTCTCTCTCTCTCTCTCTCTCTCTCCTCTCTCTCTCTCTCTCTCTCTCTCTCTCTCTCTCTCCTCTCTCTCTCTCTCTCTCTCTCTCTCTCTCTCTCCTCTCTCTCTCTCTCTCTCTCTCTCTCTCTCTCTCTCTCGCATGTCGCTTTCATCACAGCAATAATGGCACAGAATGCCGACAGTTTGATGAATCAGACTGTACATGTATCTAATTCATTAACTTTCTTACATTTATGTAACTCTACTTAAAGTTTACGGTGAATTCTTCCCCACGATTAGATATTTCTAAAAAAAAAAAAAGACCTGGATAAGGTACTTCGTACCTGGGATACAGGATCAGGATACAAACACTACTTGTTGGAGTGACAGAGAGACTTCATTTAGCTGTGTGTTTGGGACAACTGGAAAGACCGGAGTTACTGGCCTCTTAAAATGTACAACTTGTAACTACCTGGGGAGAGTTTCGGGGGTCAACGTCCCCTTGGCTCGGTCTGAGACCAGTCCTCATGGTGGATCAGGGTCTGACCAACCAGGCTGTTACTGCTGGCCGCACGCAAACTGACGTACGAACCACAGCCCGGCTGGTCAGGTACTGATTTTAGATGCCTGTCCAGTGCCTTCTTGAAGACAGCCAGGGGTCTATTGGTAATCCCCCTTATGTTTGCTGGGAGGCAGTTGAACAGTCTTGGTCCCCGAACACTTATTGTGTTGTCTCTCAGTGTACTTGTGGCTCCCCTGCTTTTCATTGGGGGAATAAATATATATTGAATACATAGCTAAAGCACCGAGGTCGACTCACCACTATTTCTCAGAAGTAGTTACCAGCAATATATTGACCCGAGAGTTACATCCGGTTTTGATAAGAAGCCAACACTGGCCAGTGTGCACATCTTTGGTTTCACGATATTCTGGCTCCAGGTAACTTCTTAACGTTTACTCCGGCTGTTGTTACATGGAGGTAATGTATGCCATTGTTAGAGTATTCTTAATTTGTTTTGTTAGTTTCTGTGAAATTGGTTTCGTGTTCATTCATATTAACTTAAGTTAACGAAACATAAAGAAGTCACTGGTAGAACAGGAGGTTAGTACACCACTGGTGTCCTCACCTGCCGGTGTTGCTTTATGGCACGTTATGTTATATCACTCTTTAAGATTTCTCTTTACATATATACACATATATATATATATATATATATATTATATATATATAATATATATATATATATATATATATATGTATATATATATATATATATGTATATGTATATTTTATATATATTATATATATATATATATATATATATATATATATATATATATATATATATATATATATATATATATGTTATATCACTCTTTAAGATTTCTCTTTACATATATATATATATATATATATATATATATATATATATATATATATATATATATATATATATATATATATATATATATATATATATATAATATATATATATATATATATATATATATATATATATATATATATATATATATATATATATATATATATATATATATATATATATATATATATATATATATATATATAATATATATATATATATATAATATATATATATATATATATATATATATATATATATATAACTATGTCCAGTACGGGTACAATATTTACATCTGGGGGAAGGGTTCTGAAACTCGGAGTTTACAAATACTCTACTGCTATAAGGTTACAGGAGAACTGCACTTTAGCAGAGGCTTCTATAGAGTAAAAGGACGGGTATCATGCGAGTACTCAATCTTCATAGCTTCAGTTGACACAGCTTCATTTGTCCACTATGACGAATAAGTTTCGAGAAATTTGCTGAAAATAGATGGTGTGGGTAGAGATTTTGAAAGTTAATGGGCAGCAAGTGTGGTGTGAACAGGCACAAGAGTATATTCAAAACCTGGGCCGCATGAGTGTAATAAAGTAGACCCAGCTGTCTGGCTCGTGTTGGACGTAGTCACGAAGACAGTAAGTACCGAGTGCCCATCGCAATAAACTACAGCCATGGTGTGTTAAGTTGCAACACTGGAACCACTGATGAGGTAACAACACCTTACTTTAACACTGGTGGTGAATTCGTTTTTTTTCAGAGCTAGGTTAGGATTGTTACTGGTTTGTGTAGGTAGCATTTTGCAGGTAAAATGCTGGTTTTCCCTGAAGATCATCATCATCTCAGTGCCTCCACTTCTCCCTAGGTAGCAGACAACATTAATAAATAAACTCTACTGTAAAATCCACCCTGGTTTCAAATACCGATGGGTCACATTTCATGGTTTGATTGGGTTGAGTTTTAGCTACTGGGTCTCTTCTGGGTGCTTGGAGGTGTTTGGAGGGTGGTTGATCTCCAGCTCCCGAGCTTTTTGAGGGTGTTTGGCTACAGGTACCAATATTCTCTAGAGTGTCGAGCTATACATGCTCTTCCACTTCTTGTAGGGTTTTGTGATACATTCACTAGGACCTCACACACGTGACGAGATACATCGGACACAGGAGATACACCTCTTTAGTTATCATTTTATTTATATCTCACCTGAACAAGTAATTTGTTCCCGAATGGTGGCAAGGATTCTTAACAACCAATTCTGCGGACATTATTTTTGTCCCCTGTTTTCTCATTATCCCTAATATGTTATGCCTTTGTTTTTTAACAGTGCATCGGGTTGATATCTGGAATATAATTGAAGCTTTTCGTGAAAACGGACTCAACACATTAGAGCCATACACTGAAGTCAAGGTATGTTTAGTGAGTGTGGCTGTAATTGAGCTTTTCTATATGTCTTTAACACTGCTTGAAGTTAGTGTAAGCCTGAAGAAATGCCATTACTATACATGCTCATTTCCCGGGTGTTAGCAGTTGGAGTAGCTACATTATATATGCATGAAACCCGCACTTAGGAGAGGAATCTTATGACGATGTTTCAGTCCTTCCTGAACCATCGTCAGACCATAACTGGAGCTGGACAGTGGTCCAGAATCTAATGTAAACGTCTTCAAGTGGATCCTCTTAAGTGTGAGGTTTTAAAGTTAATTGTTCAAGCCACGGTACTGTGACCTTTTTATTCCTTCTGTATGCATGACGGAAGGCAACGTAAGCATCACTGGGAGGAGTGACTTGATTAGCAAGGCAGAAAACCCAGCAGCTGACGGATGTGGTGATATATGAGGTATTATCATATAATGATAGAAAAAGAGGCTGTTTCAAAGATTTGGTTAATTAAGCAAGATTATTATTATTATTATTATTATTATTATTATTATTATTATTATTATTATTATTATTATTATTATTATTATTATTATTATTATTATTATTATTTTATAATTAGTAAAACGCTAAATCCGTAATGGTTATTCAGCACTGCATGTCAGGGGTGAAAATAATAGCAGGGAGGAGTGATGGGGCAGAACTGGTAATCAGGAATGATGGAGTTTAATGTCTGTATGCTACACATACAACATTACAGGTGTATTGTTGAAATATACAATTATATACAATAAAAATTTTACATTGACTGCAAAAACATTTCTTACATGCCCTTTTCTGCTTTTTGACCCATTGCTAGGTATCGCGTTTGGAGACGTTAATATCAACTCTGTACCACAGTTTAAACAAGAGATTACCAGTGGGTCAGCATGTTGTGATCGAGTCATCTACCTCAATACTTCTAAACTGGTTGCTGTCTGCATATGACAAGTTAGTATCGTAAAATCATGTCTTTGCGTAAATGTTGCACTCGGTGTTGTGCTGTGGAGGGTTGCATGGCTTCCTAAAACTCTACACGGGGTGAAAAGTCGGCCCGTTAAACTTAGACGGACACAGATATAACTAATTTAACACTTTATTGTGGCTTGATAAAGTTCCTGAAGAGCGAAACGTTGCCACAATAAAATGTCACATTAGTTGCATCTTTGTCCATTTACCAAATATTTTGCCTGTAATTCTAGGTTCAGTATTGTAGCCAGAGCATTATATTGATCCAGTAGAGTTGGTTCTAGGCCGCACAGAACCCGTACAGTTGGTTCTAGGCCGCACAGAACCCGTACAGTTGGTTCTAGGCCGCACAGAACCCGTACAGTTGGTTCTAGGCCGCACAGAACCCGTACAGTTGGTTCTAGGCCGCACAGAACCCGTACAGTTGGTTGTAGGCCGCAGAGAACCCGGGTGCCAGCACTCATGATGGGACCATCCAAGACGCGATCTGAAGAAAGTTTCGACCGTCAAGAAATATTCTTGTACCGAGCCTATTCATTATGAGTGGTGATAGTCATAATTTACTTGCTTTTTCAAATTGTGTTACAAAAACAATGGTAGAAAACAGCTTGTTATTTTGTACGAGGTGAATAGAGCAGTAAATTATTTAATGTTCTTCTATAATAATTAATAAAATTATGGTGGATGTTGATAGCAAGTAGGAATTTCTTATATTAAATTGCTTTAATTGTAAATTTTAGTACGTTACGTTTGCCAAGATAAATATATTTGATTTTCTTGCATTACTTAGTTACTCTATCAACTCTTATACTCTATTTTCGTCTAAGATAAATAAATAGTTTAAGATTGTCTTTAAGCAGAGCCCCAGACACCTCGCACCTGCTGCCTGTCACTAAGGACCAGCACCTGCTGCCTGTCCCTAAGGACCAGCACCTGCTGCTTGTTCTTAAGGACCAGCACCTGCTGCCTGTCCCTAAGGAAAAGCACCTGCTGCCTGTCCCTAAGGAACAGCACCTGCTGCCTGTCCCTAAGGACCAGCACCTGCTGCCTGTCCCTAAGGACCAGCACCTGTTGCCTGTTCTTAAGGACCAGCACCTGCTGCCTGTTCTTAAGGACCAGCACCTGCTGCCTGTTTCTAAGGAACAGCACCTGCTGCCTGTCCCTAAGGGCCAGCACCTGCTGCCTGTCCCTAAGGAAAAGCACCTGCTGCCTGTCCCTAAGGAACAGCACCTGCTGCCTGTCCCTAAGGACCAGCACCTGCTGCCTGTTCCTAAGGAACAGCACCTGCTGCCTGTCCCTAAGGGACAGCACCTGCTGCCTGTTCCTAAGGACCGGCCCAGCTGGAGTATATGTCCCAGTTTAGTAACTATAAAATACGTATCTTGTTACACTACACTTCAGACTGACTGATAAAGTCTTACATGTCTTCAGCGATCCCTACATTACCAATACTTTACATTACTCTTCTGTATTAAAAGATTTTTTTTCTATTGTAAATTAGAAAAATCTCAGTTATAATTAGTTTAATAATGAAAGAGAATTTTTATTTTTCGATATATTATCAGGCATTTCCAACAATTAAGGAATATCTCTCTTGCCCACACACTATTGTTCCAGTAAAAGATTAAGTGATGAGCTGAACAATTTCGGTTGCATCAGTTCCACGTTCGATAAATGTTGTGAAATTTGTCAGCGTGTTGTTTTGCTTATCAAAGATAATATTACCGAGGTGTCAAAGCTGTCACAATATCCTGTAATAATTACGCTTTGTAATGATTAAAATAACACAAAAAAATATATATTTTTAGCCTGGATAATGCATCGGTTATCGATGTAATTATCTTTAAAGGTAATAACAAAATAGATACGAATGAGATTAATAACATATATTTTGATTTAAAGTTTTTCCTCTAAGATCAGGTAAATTGTTAATATTAACATAATGTTCTTGCAGAGATGATGAGGGAAAACTTCGTGTGTTTAGTGTGAAGGTTGCACTAGCCACTCTGTGTAGTAGCAAGCCTCTGGATAAACTCAGATGTGAGTCATTATTCCATTCTTGTCTCGTGATTGCAGTGCACTTGCATTATTAAATTCATAACTGGTAGATAATTAATTTTTTTTATTTTATTTGATGGTCTAAAATCTGTTTGAATTTTAAAAAAAAATAGATGTGTATTGATTTGGTTTGTAAAATATTTGCTGTGTTTATCTTTGTATTAAAATTGCTCTTAATATGTCTTGTCCCACTGATCTGTAATTCCTAATTGTGTCTCGATAATTTTAAAGATTTTTTGTCTTCCAGGCAGCAGATGTGTTCACTCACACACACACACACACACACGCACACACACACACACACACACATTTCCATATCACTTGCCTCTGCTTAAAGCTAAGAGCGAATTTCTTTCATATTTCTGCGTGATTTCCCCATGGTACTGAAGATGGTCCCTTAGCAAGTGTATGAAGCTTGTGTCATCTTTTCTTCTTTATATATTATATATATATATATATATATATATATATATATATATATATATATATATATATATATATATATATATATATATAGGGGGTAAAGGAGGTTTTGTGGGCGAGGGGCTTGGACTTCCAGCAAGCGTGCATGAGCGTGTTAGATAGGAGTGAATGGAGACGAATGATACTTGGGACCTGACGATCTGTTGGAGTGTGAGCAGGGTAATATTTAGTGAAGGGATTCAGGGAAACCGGTTATTTTCATATAGTCGGACTTGAGTCTTGGAAATGGGAAGTACAATGCCTGCACTTTAAAGGAGGGGTTTGGGATATTGGCAGTTTGGAGGGATATGTTGTGTATCTTTATATGTGTATGCTTCTAAACTGTTGTATTCTGAGTACCTCTGCAAAAGCAGTGATAATGTGTGTGTGTGGTGAAAGTGTTGAATGATGATGAAAGTATTTTCTTTTTGGGGATTTTCTTTCTTTTTTGGGTCACCCTGCCTCGGTGGGAGACGACCGACTTGTTGAAAAAAAAAAAAAAAAAATATGTATATATATATATATATATATATATATTATATATATATATATATATATATATATATATATAATATATATATATAATAAACTCAATTATTTATACATACATATGGTGGATATACAACATCTATATATTATATATATATATATATATATATATATATATATATATATATATATATATATATATATATATATATATATATATATATATATATATATATATATATTCAATAACCTTAAAATTTCAACAGATATATTCTCACAAATATCTGATGGCAATGGACACCTTTCACTTAGTCGTTTTTCCGAGTACCTGAAGGAAGTCTTATCACTACCAGCTGCTGTCTTTGAGTCTCCAAGTTTCTCGTACTCAGAAAATCTAGTCACTCATATATTTGACGGGGTAAGTCATGACATGTAGTGCATTTTTCTTAGCGTCTTAGACTATACCAGTACACCATACGGTCACTTGCAAGATGAGCAGAAGGCGACAGATAGTGAATAATAGACACATAGAAAGATTAAGTCCTTCAGTTAGTGACGCTTCGCTGTTGATGGTGTTTCGTTAGGTACTTGAGAAAGCGCCACCTACAGCGGGACGTGTTTGAAATATTATATATATATATTATATATATAAATATATATATATATATATATATATAATATATATATATATATATATATATATATATATAATATATAATATATATATATGGTAGTTCTAGGCCTTTCTTGTTACAATCAACACATCAGAAGCTTTCAATGTTGCAGAAAAGGGGAGGAGGTCTAAACAAATACGATCACAGAAAGCGCCTTACTGTGTTAATGAGATATTTAACGGGAGCTACAGTGATATGTTAAAATTGGTAGAGATACTGATCTTTAAGATTTTGACACATAAGTGTCTCAATCTTCAACCTGTCGGTTTTAAACCATTTTTAACACACTCTTTGTTAAGAGTGCAGCACACTCTTTGTTAAGAGTGAAATATTCTCTTTGTTAAGAGTGCCACACTCTCTTTGTTAAGAGTGCAACACTCTTTGTTAAGAGCGCAACACTCTCTTTGTTAAGAGTTCAACACTCTCTTTGTTAAGAGTGCAACACTCTCTTTGTTAAGAGTGTGTTGCGTCTTATTGCTGTGTGATAACTAAACGGTATTTTAGGGATCATAATATTTATTTGTACATTTCGATTTTCAGATAAAGCAAATCAATGTCAATGATTTCTTAGAAGTAGTTCTGGAGGATCCAGGTCCAGAATGTTTGGCCTGGCTGCCACTTCTACACCGTCTTGCTGCTTCAGAGTCTGGTATGGATGCAGAAATACTTAACACACGATCACATGTAGCTAGACAGTGGTGTGAACCCACAACTGGCAATTCAAAGACACTTAAGCAAGAGAAAAGTCTTAAATATACGACGTTTCTTCCACAGTGTGGGAGAAACGACAGTGGCTGGGAAGTGTGTTTGAATTACCTTCATACACACACGCTGTGATTGTTCCCTGGACTGGTCTAAGAGCTCGATGGGTCTTCCGCTTAGGGAAGAAATTCCTAAATGACTGGACTGTTATCTCTTTGGTACCAATTGTTATTAAATAGCAGGATAAAGCATATATTCATTTATATACCAGACTTAATCGCCAAACAACTAGCGAAGAAAAATGTAAAACCCCCCCCCCCCCCGTCCAATATTTTGAAGTCAGCAAACACTCAACAAACTACCATATTAAAATAATAATAATATATTTAATAAATGAGCACTGAGAAGATATATATACAAATTTTCATTGGGCCGAAATGGGGGCCAGTTTAAAAATATATACCAAGAATAAAAAAAATAGGGTTGAGAATATCAATTTTGAGTAAGAGAGGACCAATTTAGGGAACTTTCACTGTGTTTTTTTTAAATAATGGCTGCTTCTGCTTATTTTTTAAAAAATCAAGAGTAACGTACTTTATTTGACTAAAATCCATGCATTATATTGATTTTTTTTAGATTTTCCTAGTTTTTGCTTGATATATTTATTTTCAGAATGGCCTTTGACTTTGAATGATTGTCTGAAAAAAAAAACATTAAGCTTAAACTGAAATGTGCAGTGACGACATTCAATTATTCAGTGTTCCATAAAAATACTTATTATTATCTTTTTATGTTACTGTAAACATGCTAGAAGAGAAAGTTCAAATGTTGATAAATGAGATAAATAAAGCTTGCTTATCTCAATGTGTTTTGAATTATAGATGCTCTGTGGGCTGTTGAACTGATTGACGATGCCTTTTTTGATGAATGTAAGTCTTAGCCTTAAAGTTCCATTGTTCTTGGAGAGTACCATAGTCAGTCTACAAGTATCATTAACGTCCTTGTGAAGTGTTACCATTATCTTCTTCCATAAGTAAATATGTTGAATATCACGATAAGTGTTATTTAAAGATATTACAGAGTAATAATGTGAAGAGTCGATAAGAATGGCGAACTTAACTAATAATTTTTTTGGAAATAGTGCCTTAAAAACTATGCAAATAATAATAATGAAAAATCTTTTTTACCTTTTTCAATTCGTTATATATATATATATATATATATATATATATATATAATATATATATATATATATATATATATATATATATAATATATATATATATATATATATATATATGTCGTGCCGAATATGTAAAACTGGTCAATTAGCAAGAACTCATTTAAAATTAAGTCCTTTCTAAAAATTTTCCCTTATACGTTTAAAGATATATTTTTTTCATTAATGTTAATGTAAAAATTTTTAATTTTGCACCAAAAGAATCTTAGAAAACTTACCTAACCTTATTATAACAAGAACAATTTATTGTAGCCTAACCCAACTAAATATATTTTAGAATTGTTTATAATAATTTAATACTGAACAAACACAGTGAAATATTTTTTTTTCGTTAGGTTCAGAATGACTTTGGCGAAATTATTGCATACACAAATTTTCACTTGTCCTATATGGCAAGATGAGCGTTGCTATTTAAGCCAAGATAGCAAGTTCTGCCTATTCGGCACGACATATATATATATATATATATATATATATATATATATATATATATATATATATATATATATATATATATATATATATATATATATATATATATATATGTATGTATGTATGTATGTATGTACATATATATATATATATATATATATATATATATATATATATATATATATATATATATATATATATATATATATATATATATATGTATGTATGTATGTATGTACATATATATATATATATATATATATATATATATATATATATATATATATATATATATATATATATATATATATATATATATATATATATATATATATTCTCTGCATAAATGCAGTATTTTTAAGGCATTTTTTAAAGCATGGTTAGAAATGCTGAGTTCGCCCTTGTTATCGCCCATGTCAATCTTGCAAGCTGCATGGCGTTCAGTGTTCAATATTATAATGTTTTATGAAGCATATCACAGTGAAAAAAAATCGAATAAAAAACACGTAAGCACTTCCGGGCGTTGTCATACACATCTTCAGAGGAAGTAGCCCTCAGAAGATGTGCGTGTAGGGACACGAAAGCTAATTTTTTTCTGCAATATTATTTTTGTCCACTGATACTTTTGGCTATTTTTAATTATGAGTTGTATAGTGATTTCTTCCCTTAATGGACACTCTTTTTATGTTTAAGCTTGTGATTAGTTACTGATAAAGGGAAAAGAAGTAGCCGAGATATCTCAAGTCTGTTATAGAAAAACATATATTATTTATGTAATAAACGATAAATTTATGTATAAGGAAATAAAGTCATGATAAGACAGTGGCTGCAGTGCTCTCCATCATGATAATCTTCCTGACTCCTCTAGAGAGACGGAGAGATGAGAGAGAGAGCTAAGCTTAAACAGTCTCTCCGGATTAATGTGATACTGATCCACCTAGCAGTTAGGAATGTGAGGTAGTGTTGTAGTAAGGTCTACCTTCCTCACATGGTGTCTCTTGTAATAGACAATTTATAGTATAATAGACAATATCTAGTGTAATATTCAATATTTACCAGTATGATCAATATCCCACATAGTAAGATATAGCTAGTTTAATTATGATACTCAAATTATGCAGCAGCGTACTGCCGATAGTACGACGAAAAAAAAACAGGTCCAAAACACGTTTTTACTATGAATATATATATATATATATATATATATATATATATATATATATATATATATATATATATATATATATATATATATATATATATATATATATATATATATACCTTTGTGTTAATTTCTTATGCACAGGACAATTAGATATTACAACTGAATTTTAAGGTTGTTAGGTTAGGGCACAACTCTGTATTGTTTGCTGTGTTTGTATGTTTGACTTGCACTAGTGATAGTTTCGGTGTTCTTCCATCATTATTCATTTTTAGTACTAGTACAAACCCTTCAGTATTCTGTTAGAGTTACTTCACACTATTTTTTTGTATATGTTATTCATATTTGTAAGACTGATCTCATTTATGCTGTATAATTCTGATATATTAAGTGAGTGAAAGAGTAAGCGGATATGTTGTAAATCATTGACAGGTAGACAGGTAGGAAGACAGTGGTGAGACAAGCGGTAATTCAAAGACTCTTTAAACAAGGGAAACATTTATTGAAGGACGTTTCACCCACAGTGGAGCTTTATAAAGCATCGCAAATAATTTCAATACTTACAAGCTCGTTTTACATGTAGAGGTAGCCTTTATTAGTCCTTTGTTGAGACATATAACCCAGCGAGAGCTTTACTAAGTTGCATGATAAAGCCCTCACTCGAGAGGGAAAGTCGTTTACAATAATGTCTTGGCATGTCTACGTTTAGTTGATTTACTACTGAAATACAAGAATCCTGTTTGTAGGTTGTAATGGAAGGTTATACAGGGATCCACAATTTATGTTTGTAGGTTGTAATAAAAGAATGTACAGCAGTGCTCAGCTGTGTGTGTGTGTGAAGAGTACTGTTAGTGTATAGAGGGTGGTGGTAGTGTATGGATGGCGGTGCTAGTGTATACAAATCAATTTCACCACTTCTACACCGAGGAATATATGCACAGTATTGTACATACCAAACGTGTAGTTAAAATATATTTTTGTTAAGGCTGTGAATCTTCCTGATGACCGTTCTTTGCTTCCAGTCATCCACCAGACCATGTGTGATGGATGCAGGAGAGAGAACTTCAGTGGGTTGCGGTACAAGTGCGAGAAGTGCCATAACTACAGCATGTGTCAGGAGTGCTTCTGGCTGGGGCGTTTTTCGCCGCCTCACTCCATACATCATCAAGTCAAGGAATACACTTCCTTCGTAAGTCTGAGATTATTATAATCAAATAAAGGGCTAAACTGACAAGGGTCATGCAGTGCAAGTCTGAGAGTCTCCTTGTGTTGGTCTGTGTGAAATACTCTGTTTCCTTACTGATAATAATAATAATAATAATAATAATAATAATAATAATAATAATAATAATAATAATAATTATTATTATTATTATTATTATTATTATTATATCCATATTTGCTTCCTAAAATTGGAATAAAATTAATCTCTCATTTTATATACACTGAGATACACATCTCTTGTTGCATATACACTGAGAAATATACATCTCTTCGTTTAAATACACCGAGATACAAACCTCGTAGTGTATATATTCTTCGGTGAACCCATCATAGCTGAATTATTAGTAGGTTTGATCCAAGGAAGGGGAGATCAGCTCCAGTTGCTTGTTTCAAGAGCCCTTCACAACATATACACTAGACAGAAAACAAATTAGAGAAAAATAAGAGAATTTAAAAAAAAAAATGAGAAACAAAAAATTGATGCAAAAATCAATGGTAGGCGACCCTCTTCCTCGGATCAAATCTGATAACTTCCTGTTTACCTCAGGCGCTGCATGACCCCTACGGGTTTAGCGCTGCATCTTGTGAATGTAGTAATTGACAATACAATGTTCAAGGTTTTTATTTTTGTCCATTTAAATAACAGTTGACAAGAAAATAACGAATATGAGACAAAAGGTACGCGAAAAATTCGTAACATTTTAAAAATCAAACTATAAACAAGAACAATAATGTGAGAACATGACGTTATGGCAGCGGCATTTATTTACAGCATGTCGAAGATTCAGGTCAATAGATTCATAAATAACGGATGTAGACGGCACAATACCACCAGAAACATGAGCCGTAATCACCCTACCTCCCCCGGCAAGGCCCAGTGGCCCACTGAGGTGTTATTGTTGTGACTCACTAGTGTCTAGACACCTGGCCAGAGTTGCCAGTGTCTATTGTTCACTAATGTATATTAATTTGTATAGCATAAAAACAAATACTTAATTTATTACCTACAGAGTTGACCCGACATTACGTCAATAATGATATAATTCTAAATTTGCAATTTGTTAAAAAACGTAAATAGGAGATCCAGAATTAAATGAATAAATGACTAAACTTGTGCTCAATTATAGGATAAATTTTTTTAATTATTTCTGAGATTTTAAATTTTTTTCATAATTTTCAAATGTCTCTTTTCGCAGAGAGACTGAAGACTCATTTAACCCCTATATCTAAACTCAGCCCTTTTAAGCAATGACATTTAACCTCGCTATTTAACCAAAGCCATTTAACTAGTCTTATGCAAAACATCAGTATTTACCTAAATGATTCCAGCCACATTTAACCCCGTTATATAAACGCAACCAGGAAAGTCTGACAAAAATGGCGATTTAAACCGAGGTATTTAATTTGGTTATTTAAATTGACCTTGAAACTGTTGCTGACAGGTGTTCGTGTATTTTTTTTTTTTTTTTGCAGTTGATGGGGTTCAATGTGTGTTATGTTGCATGCTCGTGTGTTATGTGGATGATAATGTGTGTTATGTTGCATGCTCGTGTGTTATGTGGATGATAATGTGTGTTATGTTGCATGCTTGTGTGTTATGTGGATGATAATGAGTGTTATGTTGCATGCTCGTGTGTTATGTGGATGATAATGTGTGTTATGTTGCATGCTCGTGTGTTATGTGATGATAATGTGTGTTATGTTGATGCTCGTGTTTATGTGGATGATATGTTTTATGTTGCATGCTTGTGTGTTATGTGGATGATAATGAGTGTTATGTTGCATGCTCGTGTGTTATGTGGATGATAATGTGTGTTATGTTGCATGCTCGTGTGTTATGTGGATGATAATGTGTGTTATGTTGCATGCTTGTGTGTTATGTGGATGATAATGTATGTTATGTTGCATGCTTGTGTGTTATGTGGATGATAATGTATGTTTTGTTGCATGCTTGTGTGTAATGTGGATGATATTGTGTGTTATGCCGTGTTATTGCGAACTAGGTGGTATTCATGTGTTATGTGGGGTGCTACTGTGTGTTACGTGGTGTCATTATCTTATGTGGTGTTACTGTGTGCTATGTGGTGTTATTGAATGTTACATGGTTATATTGTGCTTTTTGTAGTTCTACTATGTTGAGTGGTATCACTGTTACATAGTATTGCTGTGTGTTATATGGTGTTATTTTGTGTTATATGGTGTTATTGTGTTCTAAATAGTGTCTTTGTGTATTATATGGTGTTATTGTGTACTAAATGGTGTTACTGTGTTATATGGTGTTATTGTGTGTTATATGGTGTTATTGTGTGTTATATGGTGTTTCTGTGTGCTAAATAGCGTCTTTGTGTATTATATGGTGTTATTGTGTGCTAAATGGTGTTATTGTGTGCTAAATGGTGTTATTGTGTGTTATACGGTGTTATTGTGAGTTATATGATGTTATTGTGTGTTATATGGTGTTATTATGTGCTAGATGGTGTCATTATATGTTATACGGTGTTATTGTGTGCTAAATGGTGTTATTGTGTGCTTAATGGGGTTATTGTGCGTTATATGATATTATTGTGTGTTATATGGTGTCATTGTGTGGTATATGGTGTTATTGTGTGTTGTATGGTGTTATTGTGTGTTATATGCTGTTATTGTGTGCCAAATGGCGTTATGGTATGTTATAGGGTGTTAATGTGTGCTAAATGGTGTTTATGTGTGTTATATGGTGTTACAGTGTGTTATATGGTGTTATTTTGTGTTATATGGTGTTGTTGTGTGCTAAATGGTGTCTTTGTGTGTTATATGGTGTTATTGTGTGCTAAATGGTGTTGTGTGCTAAATGGTGTCTTTGTGTGTTATATGGTGTTATTGTGTGCTAAATGGTGTTAATGCGTGCTAAATAGTGTTATTGTGTGTTATATGGTGCTATTGTGTGTTATATGGTGTTATTGAGTGCTAAATGGTGTCATTGTGTGTTATATTGTGTTTTTGTGTGCTAAATGGTGTTATTATGTGTTATAGGGTGTTATTGTGTGTTATATGATGTTATTGTGTGCTAAATGGTGTTATTGTGTGTTATATGGTGTAATTGTGCGTTATATGGTGTTATTGTGTGCTAAATGGTGTCGTTGTGTGTTTATATGATGTTATTGTGTGCTAAATAGTGCTATTGTGTGCTAAATGGTAGTATTGTGTTATATGGTGTTATTGTGTGTTATATGGTGTAATTGTGCGTTATATGGTGTTATTGTGTGCTAAATGGTGTCGTTGTGTGTTATATGATGTTATTGTGTGCTAAATAGTTCTATTGTGTGCTAAATGGTGGTATTGTGTTATATGGTGTTATTGTGTGTTATATGGTGTTATTGTGTGTTATATGGTCTTATTGTGTGCTAAATGGTGTCATTGGGTGTTATATGGTGTTATTGTGTGCTAAATGGTGCTATTGTGTGCTAAATCGTGTTATTGTGCGTTATATGGTATTATTGTGTTAAATGGTGTTATTGTGTGCTAAATGGTGTTATTGTGTGTTATATGGTGTTATTGTGTGCTAAATGGTGTTATTGTGTGCTAAATGGTGGTATTATGTGCTATATGGTGTCATTGTGTGTTATATGATGTTATTGTGTGCTAAATGGTCTTATTGTGTGTTATATGGTGTTATTGTGTGCTAAGTGGTGTTATTGTGTGTTATATGGTGCTATTGTGTGCTAAATGGTGCCATTGTGTGTTATATATAGTGTTATTGTGTGCTAAATGGTGTTATTGTGTGTTAAATGGTGTTATTGTGTGGTATATGGTGTTATTGTGTGTTATATGGTGTTATTGTGTGCTAAATTTTGTCATTGTGTGTTGTATGGTGTTATTGTGTGCTAAATGGTGTTATTGCGTATTAAATGGTGTTATTGTGTGTTATATTGTGTTTTTGTGTGTTATATGGTGTTATTGTGTGCTAAATTGTGTAATTGTGTGTTATATGGTGTTATTGTGTGCTAAATGGTGTTTTTGTGTGTTACATGGTGTTATTGTGTATTATATGGTGTTATTTTGTGTTTAAATGGTGTCATTGTGTGTTATATGGTTTTATTGTGTGCTAAATGGTGTTATTGTGTGTTATATGGTGTCATTGTGTGTTATATGGTGTTATTGTGTGCTAAATGGTGTTTTTGTGTGTTATATGGTGTTATTGTGTGCTAAATAGCGTTTTGTGTGTTATATGGTGTTATTGTGTGCTAAATGGTGTCATTGTGTGTTATATGGTGTTATTGTGTGCTAAATAGTGTTATTGTGTGCTAAATGGTGTTATTGTGTGTTAAATGGTGTTACTGTGTGTATATGGTGTTATTGTGTGTTATATGGTGTTATTGTGTGCTAAATTTTGTCATTGTATGTTGTATGGTGTTATTGTGTGCTAAATGGTGTTATTGTGGTATTAAATGGTGTATTGTGTGTTATATTGTGTTTTTGTGTGTTATATGGTGTTATTGTGTGCTAAATTGTGTCATTGTGTGTTATATGGTGTTATTGTGTGCTAAATGGTGTTTTTGTGTGTTATATGGTGTTATTGTGTATTATATGGTGTTATTTTGTGTTAAATGGTGTCATTGTGTGTTATATGGTTTTATTGTGTGCTAAATGGTGTTATTGTGTGTTATATGGTGTCATTGTGTGTTATATGGTGTTATTGTGTGCTAAAATGGTGTTATTGTGTGTTATATGGTGTTATGTGTGCTAAATAGTGTTATTGTGTGTTATATGGTGTTATTGTGTGCTAATGGAATGTGCATAGTGTGTTATATGGTGTTATTGTGTGCTAAATAGTGTTATTGTGTGCTAAATGGTGTTATTGTGTGTTAAATGGTGTTACTGTGTGTTATATGGTGTTATTGTGTGTTATATGGTGTTATTGTGTGCTCAATGGTGTCATTGTGTGTTGTATGGTGTTATTGTGTGCTAAATGGTGTTATTGTGTATTAAATGGTGTTATTGTGTGTTATATGGTGTTATTGTGTGTTATATGATGTTATTGTGTGCTAAATGGTGTCATTGTGTGTTATATGGTGTTATTGAATGCAGATGTAATATATACAGACTTTGCAAAAGCCTTCGACAAGTGTGACCATGGCGTAATAGCGCACAAAATGTGTGCTAAAGGAATAACAGGAAAAGTCGGTCGATGGATCTATAATTTCCTCACTAACAGAACACAGAGAGTAGTCGTCAACAGAGTAAAGTCCGAGGCAGCTACGGTGAAAAGCTCTGTTCCACAAGGCACAGTACTCGCTCCCATCTTGTTCCTCATCCTCATATCCGACATAGATAAGGATGTCAGCCACAGCACCGTGTCTTCCTTTGCAGATGACACCCGAATCTGCATGACAGTGTCTTCCATTGCAGACACTGCAAAGCTCCAGGCGGACATCAACCAAATCTTTCAGTGGGCTGCAGAAAACAATATGAAGTTCAACGATGAGAAATTTCAATTACTCAGATATGGTAAACATGAGAAAATTAAATATTCATCAGAGTACAAAGCAAATTCTGGCCACAAAATAGAGCGAAACACCAACGTCAAAGACCTGGGAGTGATCATGTCGGAGGATCTCACCTTCAAGGACCATAACATTGTATCAATCGCATCTGCTAGAAAAATGACAGGATGGATAATGAGAACCTTCAAAACTAGGGAGGCCAAGCCCATGATGGTCACTTGTTCTCTCTAGGCTGGAATATTGCTGCACACTAACAGCACCTTTCAAGGCAGGTGAAACTGCCGACCTAGAAAATGTACAGAGAACTTTCACGGCGCGCATAACGGAGATAAAACACCTCAATTATTGGGAGCGCTTGAGGTTCCTAAACCTGTATTCCCTGGAACGCAGGAGGGAGAGATACATGATTATATACACCTGGAAAATCCTAGAGGGACTAGTACCGAACTTGCACACGAAAATCACTCGCTACGAAAGCAAAAGACTTGGCAGACGATGCACCATCCCCCCAATGAAAAGCAGGGGAATCACTAGCACGTTAAGAGACAATACAATAAGTGTCAGGGGCCCGAGACTGTTCAACTGCCTCCCAGCACACATAAGGGGGATTACCAACAGACCCCTGGCAGTCTTCAAGCTGCCACTGGACAAGCACCTAATGTCAGTTCCTGATCAGCCGGGCTGTAGCTCGTACGTTGGTTTGCGTGCAGCCAGCAGCAACAGCCTGGTTGATCAGGCTCTAATCCACCAGGAGGCCTGGTCACAGACCGGGCCGCGGGGGCGTTGACCCCCGGAACTCTCTCCAGGTAAACTCCAGGTAAATGGTGTTTTTGTGTATTATATGGTGTTATTTTGTGCTAAATGGTGTCATTGTGTGTTATATGGTTTTATTGTGTGCTAAATGGTGTTATTGTGTGTTATATGGTGTTATTTTGTGTTATATGGTGTTATTGTGTATCCATGCTATTTGTATGCAGATACATTCATCTACCGTATTATTTGCTGAATTTTTTCTCCACAGAAACAATTTCAGACACTGCATCGTACTTTATACATATCATGTACATATCAGACCTTCTACTCATTACAGAATTTAATAGATATTTAATATCATACGTATTTCAGACCCCAACTCGGCATTCTTTCCGCCGTAGTTTGCGCTGTGTACCTGATAGACCATCAATAGATAGACCACGGTTTCCCGAACATCCTGAGAAGACCTTAAATCTTTCCCATATAGTGTAAGTATTAGTTGTTATATAGAGGGGTGGGAGGTGCTGGTGGGGGAGGGGAGATATATACGTGCAATGTTAGTGGGGAGACTGTGATCTGGGCGACGGGACAGATGATGTCTAGACTACCATAGAAAGCGTTGTACTTGGAGCAGAAATCACAAAGGAGACCTCTAGCACTATAGGGCAGAATCAAGGGATATGTATTACTACCAGGTCACTTGTCAAAGCCATCTTACACGGGGAAATCCAATAAGGGAGGCCGACATCCATTCACATCACGCTACAAATGACACCACACTCTGGCCCACTTACATCACAGCTACAGATGACATCACAATCTGGCCCACTTACATCACAGCTACAGATGATATCACACTCTGGCACACTTACATCACAGCTACAGATGACATCACACTCTGGCCCACTTACATCACAGCCTACAGATGACATCACACTCTGACCCACTTACATCACAGCCACAGATGACATCACACTCATGGCCCACTTACATCACAGATACAGATGACATCACACTCTGGCCCACTTACATCACAGCCACAGATGACATCACACATGCCCACTATCCAGCTCAGTACATCACATGCCATCACCAGCACAATGACATCACACTCTTACCCACTTACATCACAGCCACAGATGACATCACGCTCTGGCTCACTTACATCACAGCCACAGATGATGTCACACTCTGGCTCACTTACATCACAGCCACATATGACATCACACTCTGGCCCACTCAGCTATGGTCTGTATACCATGTACACGTACTTGTAGATATAAAGATTATTATTATTATTATATTATTATTATTTATTATTATTATTATATTATTATTATTATTATATTATTATTATTATTATTATTAATGTTTCCAGACCTCCTTCGCCTCTTCCTACCCACAATGGTTTTGAAGGAGGGGCTGCAGCACCTCCGCCTACCACGCTGGACAGTCGTTCCTCCAGCCGGAGGTAAGTTACTTCCCTCAACAGTAATACAATAGTGGACTACATCGACATTATGTAAATTGACTGAACTTATAAAGTTCTCAGTGAGTGAAACGTCTTTACGGTAAATACCATAACCCGCGTTGTGAATCTTGCTAACACATTTCCCCTCAGTGCATAAGCTGTTTCGTGATTTGCTTTTACTAACTTAAACCATACCACGGGCGGGGACAGAACCCGCGATCAGAGAGTCTCAAAACTCATTTTCGTTCCTGCAAACCGATATCACTGAAGAGTATTTAATAAACAACAGCTACAGCATATTCACCATTTAAGATTGTTTAGTAATCAAAAAGTCTTCTTTAGCGATACAAAATGGCATCACTAACCTCGCTGCTTCTTTTGAAGCTGTGTCAGCAGCTTGCCTGACTGGAGTCAGCTGGATGAAGAACATCGACTTATCGCTCACTACGCCGCCCGTCTGGCTAACCAGACTTCCCACTCGGTGAGGCAACACAAAGGTTCTGTGATGTAAATAGTTTAGATAAGCAACAAGTTAAAGAATGGGGCACTTGTGTAGCATTTAGGAATCTTCATTGTCGAAGGATTTCCACAATATAGATTCCCAAATAACAAAAAAAGGCACAATACCGTGACTGGAACGAAACACAAATAACCCGCACATAGAAGAAAGGAGCTTACGACGACGTTCCTTCCACCTCCACTACTACCACGACTACTACCACTACCTCCTCCTGCCTATATATACCCATCCTGCTCTTCTCCTCGTTAGTGTGACTTTGTTGTAAAATGGTCTTCCCAAATTCGGAAACCGAAATGTCGTTCGTAAGACTTATAACTCTCATTGTTCTGGTTATTTCTTGATAATTCGCCTAAATGGTTGGGCAGGTGTGTTACCTGTTCAACACCAGGTATGTATAACTGTGTATTTTCCCTTGTCATACCTGATATGTTGACAAGGCAGGATAATCTCTGGTGATCAACACCGCCAGGTATGTGAGAAAGGCAGGTGTGTATTAATCCCCTGGTGATCAACACCGCCAGGTATGTGAGAAAGGCAGGTGTGTATTAATCCCCACATGTGTTTTACTCGTATAATACATGTTTGCTTGGCATATTTTTTTATTCGATCTTAGTATTCAAATATTAATCTATCATTAACCAGTAAGTCTTAATAAGTAATTACAGTCTTATTAGGTCATTAATATTTTCAGGGGAAGAGCTACTCTTGTTAAGGGTCAGAACGTCTCTCCAACTCTGTCCCACAGAGTTCTTCAATTCATCTTCAAACTCCTCCAATTTACTCTCAGACTCTTTCCCTTCACTCCTGCACACTCAGATTCACTCTCACACACCTCTCCCGCTCTCGAACCTCTTCGGCTCACTCCCACACCTCACCGACGCTCTCACCCATCATTCCTGATTTTCACACTCATCCAACGATATACTATACCCCAATTTCTCCCTCAGTGCCCATATAATCATATGTCCTTGCCTGTTTACCTTAGTAATGCTCTTGGGCATTGAGAAGGACAACAGTTAATGTAATCTTATGGCACAGGATTAAAGGATGACTTCAGTTCAATACTTTGCCTTGTGTCAGTTGAATAAGTGTCAGTTGAATAAGCCAGACGTGGGCCACCTCGGCCTTCGAGTCTCCTTTACCCACTACAAATACCCACACAGTTCATCTAATTCCATAACTAGAAAAACATTTAATTTATGACCTTGCTGAGATAAATTTATTCAAAGTGTCTCATTTGGGTATCTTTATCCAGAATAAAGACACTCGAATGTTGTACAAATGTCTTAGATGAAGTTGACGGTGCTCAATGTTCAAGTTTTGTATTCTCTTATTTTTTTTTTTTTGTCTAGGGGAGTGAGAGTGTTGACTCCAGTCCTGGATTTGACGCGTCTTCAGCACAGCGTGAGCTTATCCAGTCACTGGAAGCAAAAAACAGGGATATTATGAGAGAAATCAATGCTCTAAGGTAAAAGAGTGTTTCTTTTTAATTCCATTACAGTCATAGGGTTTATTCAGCGCCTGGGTAGTGGCAGGCAATCATAGTCGACCCAAAGAAGGGGATGGTACCTCCAATTCATTGAATCCAAAGCCCTTTACTAGCAACAAGGTTCTCACTTCATGGGAGACTCTCTAATTTTCTTTACAGTTTTTATTATTATTAAGAGTTATAGTTATTAAATAGCCACAATACAATGGCTGGAACAGGTCTTTAACATGTTGGTTATATATGACCATATTTTTTAAAGGGGTGGACCGGAAAGCCAGCGGAAGGCCTCGGTCAGATGACCAAAAGCTCCAACGGCGGGTCATCATCTGACTGAGACCAGCGTCAGGAAACACTTGTCCTGTTTCCTGACAAATCTTACCTAACCTAGCTGGAACAGGTCACAAAAATCCCTTACTTAGGAGATTAACCTCATAAGATTCCATAATACTCTGAAGGGAATCGTAAGTTCTTTTATTAATGATTTTTCTCCTTGTTCTTGAGAATTAGCATACTGTAGAAAGAGAGATTTTTGTAGAATAAACGTTTCGCCCGTCGTGGTTTCAACGTTTCCTCTAATAAATGTTCTGAACTATACATAAATGTCTTTTTTTTTTCATATTTTGTCGGTATCACCAGACCATTTTTCACTTAACATAATGTTAGTGATCATGGTGATATATCTGAGGAGAAACATGATAACCAAATTAAAAATTTGAAGGTGAAAGACGCAGTGAGTGTTCTTTGTAAATGTGCGCTTTGTAAATAAGGTGGGTGTGTTGCAGGTCAGTGGATCAGCATTAAATATTGAAGAATGAGACCCTTGTGGGACTGATTACCTGAAACTCTTCTTCATCTTTTAACCTGTATTGGACTGTATTGGACTGAAGAAGCCACTGGCTGGCTAAACGTTCCCTCAGTAAAGATTCCCCAATGTTGCACAAGAGTCTCATTCTTCAGCCACAGAAATGATGGAGTGACAGAAACATCAAATATATTGAAAGAGTCGAGTTGTTATAAGTTACCAACCACTGGAACTGTGTGTTTATTCACTGCTCATTAACAATTCTGCTGCTATCGCAGTTAATTTACTGCCAACTTACAGGTGTCGAAATTACCACATAGCTTAGTTCTACATCCATTAGTCACAGGTCACAACACATCCATAATTAAATACTAATCGTGGGTTATAAGTCATAATTTTGGGCAAAAATGAATATCTTCCCACTGTTTAGGCCGAAGATTGAGATGTTGGGTTCATTCTGAGGCTCTTGGGATGCACGGTGCCAGTCACTATAGTAAGGTGGTCCAGGGAAGTAGAGATGCTCAGATTCAGCAAATCCGAGATATAGAAAGATTATTATTTAATATATTCAAAGCCATGACAAATGAAACTAAACTGGCTAGATAGCCAAGGGAAATTTTAAGGAAAGGAGATAGAGGCACCATAGCCCTTTTCAGACGCTCTTTTCTCTAATCTTGGGTATCGTAGAATCGTGCGTTCTTCGTTACACGAACTCGAGAGAGTTAATAGACCAAGCAGTAAGTGTGCAATCAAACGTAATGTTCCAGAGATAACTTAAGCATGGTTGTTTTGCAATAATATTCTTCTCTCATATTTAAGTTCTAAGGAAAATATGATTGCCCGTGAGAGCAGCACATCTTTACAAATTCAGTTGGGTTTCAGGAACAGAGTGTATGTTTGCAGGCGGCAGCAGGAGCGAGTCGAGGGTAGCAGCAACCCGACCCTGGTAGCTGAGTTAAGAGTTCTCCGGTCACATCGCCATGAACTGGAATCAAATCTATCCTACCTCCAAGATTCGCGCAAGCAGCTAATGCAGCAGCTAGAAAGCCTCATGAAAATGCTCAAAGTAGGTGCAGTGTAGTACGTTTTTTTCCTACTAGCCTGTATTAGTAATTTTAATCCCCTTCACTTGTAGCACCGCTTTCCCTGGTTTGTCTAGACGATGATCTGTCTGTTATGTTATCTATTTAATAATGGCATTAATGAATGCCGAAATAAGGAATATACTACTTATTGTGTGGCTTGTTGCTGTACAATGATCATTCCTCTTTTTCTAGACTCATATTGTTGTCCATGAATAATTATTGCTGCCCTCAGAATCACCAAACCTCGCCCACGACACCAAATGGATCACCCAAATCTCCACCATTTTCTACAACTGGAACAGTAGGGAGCAGCGTGATGTCTGACGTTCCCGGTGGCACTCACGTCTCTACAGCATCGTCACGTTCAGCGCCTCCCACACCATCACACTCAGCTCAAGTATCAACTTTAGATTCTCTTTCTTCTCTACATGTTGATGGTCTACAGTCAGCAGTATCTTCAGGTACATTTATCTTTTTTCTTCTTCTTTTGTGTTTTCCTTGTTGTCTTCTGATATGCTCTACACACTTTCTTGCTTAGAAAAACCAATGTGTAACGGTTTTTAAGGATTAGAATAGTTGCACATAGCACCTGGGCTTTATTTAAAGAGGTGTTAGGTACGGTACCTACATTCTGAAGGATGAGTGGGAGTGGTTCAGTTCAGTAGGTGATTTCAACTGTGACGTGGGTCCACTTCTGACAAGACAGCTCCTGGATGAGTGATGGTAAAGGTTTTTCCTTCTCTGAGTCAGTTATCGCAAGTAAGACATAATCGATTTCATCTAACATGTTATCCACTGTGTAGAATGGAGGTGAACTCTTCTCCAGGCTGAGGGACTGACCACCTCAGAAACTATTTCTCCAAGGTTAGTGGACTGATTACATCTTCATTTCACTACTACACCTGCTGCTTCTGTATTTGACTGAAGAAGCCTACTGTGTAGGCGAAACTTTTCAACAATAAGGATAAACAACTGTTGCACAGGTCTTAATCACCACGTTATTTTCTACACTGGTTTGTTATTGTTGCGAATAACTATTAATGTATATCATATTCACTGTGTTAGTGAGCACTCCAGCACTCCAGCACTCCGGCACTCCAGCACTCCAGCACTCCAGCACTCCAGCACTCCAGCACTCCATTAGACTGACCACTTTCATTCAATATATGGAACTACAGAAGTGCTGGCCCTTTCCAGAGAAAACATCTCACGTAATTTGGTTATATGGAACCAACATACAGTAGAGAGACAAATTATAGTCACTTTTATCAGTAGATAATGTCAGCTTTTTCTTTATTTTCAGTATTCTCAAGCGCAGGTTCAAGCTGCACTCCAGATAATTCTCCTGATGATAGTTTAGCCTCACGAAGTTTAAGGAACGACCTGTTAGTGGCGGCTGATTCTGTGACAAATGCAATGTCCAGCCTTGTTCGGGAATTAAACTCAGGTCAGTATTAACAGCCTTGATGTTTAGTATAATAATAGGTTATTTTCTCTCAGAAAACGTTCTACCTCAAGGTGTAACAACTTTTAATTTGCCATCTACAGTGAACTCACTATTATCCGAATTAATTGTGGCTGAGTCCTCGTCTCTCTGAGATGGAATTCCAGTCCAAAATATTTTTATTTTTTTGCATCTAATTGGGGAAAGATTTTTATAAGTAGAAAATTACATAACTTGTATTGGCAGATATTTGAATAAAATTACTTAAAAATTTACAAAAATTCGCTTTACACATTCCAGAAAAATCTGAAATATATGATAATAGCCCCAGTCTACGTGTGGTGGATCTCGGTGAGAAGTCTAAGGAAATGTATTCTCTGTAAGTTGACGAGAGACTACATTAGGTTACAGCAAGATTTTAGCAGTAGAGTTGCACTGGAATGGAGCGAATGTGTTGACCAAAAACCAAGCGATAATTTAGCAGAACTTATCAGTCAACGTGTTGCGTAGCTCTTACAACTCACCACCACAAACCAGCCAGTCATCACACTCCAATGATTTCATTTGCCTCACCTCTGTAGGAATCTCACTTATTTTTTCTTCTTGCCCCAGAAACATTCACACACACATAGGTGAGTACACACACACACACAACACACACACACACACACACACACACACACACACACACAACACACACACACATACACACACACCACACACACACACACACACACACACACACACACACACACACACACACACACACACACACACACACACACACACACACACACACACACACAACACACACACACACACACACACACACACACACACACACACACCACACACACACACACACACACACACACACACACACACAACACACACATCACACACCCGTGTCCCTTTCCCCCACACCAACACAAGTTTGCTTAACAGAATGAGGGATGAGTGACGCTGGAGCTAGCCCATCAGTGCTAAGATCGTGCGTCGACAATATAGTGCGCTATGTAATAACGACGACCTTATTCACTCACACATGTGCTCTGGGTCACATCTAACCCCCGCGAACAGCAGCCCACGGCCCCTGCAAGCAGCTGAAGGCCACATATACGCAATCTAATAAATTGTGGATACCCTGTTGGCAATCAAAAGTTCTGTAAGAGGGAACCTTACTCACATCCTTAAAACGCCTCGTCTACATGCTTCAGAAAAATTCAGAACTTTTGAGGCAGGTGGATGGAAGGTCCGGCAAATCAGAAGCCCGAGGCACCGTTAGGACATGGCGCAACATACTTCTGTTTGGCAACGTACGTTGAGCGGTACCATCAAGAGGTGGAAAATCACTAGCCTCATCAACCATCAGAGCCGTGTGTAACGTTCCTAAGAGCTGTCCCATCAACAGAGAAGTCGCCGAGGCAGATACCAGAAAAGAACCACTAATAGCGAGAAAGATTAAGTACAATTTAGCAAAAATGAACGGAAAAGGCAACGCAGCTGGGGCAGTCAATATAATTATCAGCGATGATAAAACCATCCCCAGACATTAAACTACAACTCAGGCACTGAGAGATGAGCACTCCAGGGTAGTCACTGTCAGCAATAACTCTCGGGACCATTAATTTTGCAGTCATATGTTAATAAATCAACTGCATCGTTCTCGTTACGTTCTGCGAGGACGTCACGATGGAGTACAAGCGCAGCTCATCACAGAGCTGGTTAATCCACTAGACGTAACCACAAACATAACTTTGTGTAAATGTTCTCTGCAAAATCGTAAATGAAAGTCTGTAACTAATTTACTACTTTTCTCAGAGTACATTGATACTGGCTTAGAAAGGTTAATTATAAACTCGGTCTGTCACAAGTACTCTTGATGGCGAGGAAAGTAACTGTGAAATATCTTGCTCATGACTTCATTGATTTTGAAAAAACTTTTATATTTATCTTCATCAGTGCAAAACTGGTTTAATAGCAGAGTATTTCTTTCCAGTTGAAGGTTTTTAAGTAAACCTCCATTATTGAATGGAAATTAGTTTGTTACATGTATTACTCCAGTCGCCCAGTATCTGGATAAGAGGGAGTTCACTTTAGATCATTTTAATTCGATTTCTTAATAAGGCCAAGTGGGCAAAATATAACTGTGATATTCTCATACTTTATTGTACAGTACTTCATATTTCCAAATTTCTAAATATAAAGAACTGTAATTATTTTCAATTAAATAATCTTTTGTAATTTTTACTAATTATATATTGATATATTGAAGGCATATATGGCATGATTGTGTTTCCCGAAAAGCAAATAATTAAATAAAAAGTGAAGAAATGAGAAATGATTTGGTATAACTAAGTATATATACAACATTTAAAAGGAATTGGGATGGGTCGCATTACATTAAAGGATGACATTATTTTTGATAGAATTCCCGAGGACAGAATAATATTTCTTCATTCCCATATTAACTATGCCTAGAAATTTAATATATTTTTCAGCTTTGCAAAAAAATTTTTTTTCTTGTGAGAAGTTAACATATTTTCTGTTGTAGCTTTGAGAAAATTTAACCTTAACAGCACCACGAAGTAGTGATGCGCTTTTTTTTAGCATCAACTTTCGTTGTTTCTCACAGAAAAAATCAGTAAATACGACTAATGTAAATAACGTCCGTGACTCATCATTTTGACAGATTTTTATAAGATAACTTTTAACATATCAATTAAATGGGGCTTATTAGTTGGCTATCCTTTTTTTTTACAATGTACAAGACTTAATGATCACTACAAACTACGTTTCACTCGAGAAAAAAAGACGAAAATAAATTAGAAAATAGTGTATACACGTAATTTTTTAAGAAAATGTGAGACAGGAGGATCTGTCTTAAGGTAAGTTGGAACTGCACTCTCCCACTCCGATACATTCTAATTTAAGCACATAAGAAAGGAGGAACATTGCAGTAGGCCTGTTAGCCCATACTAGGCAGGTTCTTCTAAATTATTAACAAGGGTTTCCTTGTTTGCCAGAATTTTCTTCTGACGTATGTTATGAAAAGTTTAGTATTTCTCCATCCATAATTCCGACGGTTATAAATAACAAAACGACACAATACAGTGACTGCAACAATACACAAATAACTTGTACATAGAAGAGAGAAGCTTACCATACCACGGGTGGGGTTAGAACCCGCGATCATAGAGTCTCAAAACTCCAGACTGTCGCGTTAGCCACTGGGCCAGCTAGCCACAATAAGATTCATCTGACTAGGTATATTTATACACCATAGGAAGGTTAGCATAGGCTACCACTGTGGTATGCACTATTTTTTTTTGCAATCGTGTCATTACGATTTCGTGAGTCATATTCACGGCTTTGAGGGGACTTGAGCTAGAGTTCATCACGGCCATGCTAGCTGGAGATTCGTCTGTAAAAACTTGCATGTGTGGTCACAGTGGTGCCTATGCTAACTTTCCTATGGTGTAGAAATATATCTAGTTGGATGAATCTTATTGAAGCTAGCTGGTTCAGTGGCTAACGCGACGGTCTGGAGTTTTGAGACTCTCTGATCGCGGGTTCTAACCCCGCCCCTGGTATGGTTTGTTTGCAATTGTGCCATTACAATTTCATGAGTCAAGAGAGAAGCTTACAACGACGTCTTGGACCATTTACAAAGTCACACGAGCCGAAACGTCGTCTTAAGTTTCTATCTTTTATGTGCGGATTATTTGTGTATCCGAAGGCTATTTTAAAATTGGTCAGCGAAGCAGGAATTGTCGCTACTTTATTTATGTGATCGTCCAGTGACAATCTTTTTGTTATTGTTGACTCCTAGGTTCATCTATCTTTCTTTTTTGTCTTTAAATAGCTAATTTCACTATCTATATTCTTCATAAGGCCTGTTTTAACTCTCTTTTCATTCACCTACATTGAATTTTATCAGTTATTCATTATTCCGCTTCTTCGGTCGGCAGATCGTCTTTTAGAGACAGAGTCATTCTCGGCGTGCGATGTAACGAACCCACAATTGGATTAAAACACTTATAAAAGAGAGAGTAAGCCTATATTATGAAATACCAAAATAAAACAATAAAATAAAGTCATTACAAAAATGTTTTGTTGATATTCAGTAGTAAAGTTCGACTTACGACCATTTCGACTTACGACCGGTTTCTCGGAACCGAACTCGGTCGTAAGTCGGATGGTATCTGGAGTTTATCTGGAGAGAGTTCCGGGGGTCAACGCCCCCGCGGCCCGGTCTGTGACCAGGCCTCCTTAGGTCAGTGTCCCAGGATGCGACCCACACCAGTCGACTAACACCCAGGTACCCATTTTACTGATGGGGAACATAGACAACAGGTGGAAAGAAACACGTCCAATGTTTCTACTCTGGCTGGGAATCGAACCCAGACCCTCGCCGTGTGAAGCGAGAGCGTTAACCACCAGGCCAGTGTATAAGGTTTCCCACGGGAGGTGCAATGTAACTTCCCAGGAGTGAAACCTCGTTATAATAAAGGCCTGTTTTATTTTGTCCCTTCATACACAGCCATCTTTATTTTCTGCCTTAACTCTTCAACTCCGAACATAGATCTACTTTTTTTTTTTTTTTTTTTTTTTGACATTTGCATCATGGCAAACATGTTCATAGATTATTTTTTTTTCTGGCAAGTAGTTCGGACAAATCAGAAACATTAGTGGGGCAAACAGTGATCCCTGTGGCACTCCGCTTTGACATTTTACCTCATATTACTGTTGTTGTTTTTATTTAAACAAGAAATCTTTCATCCACTGAAATAATTTGCATTTTATTCCTCCTAAGATCTGACGTTTCCCGATCAGTTTCTCATAAGTCATCCCATCTGAGACCTCATTGTCCCTCGTGTAGTAGACAGACTTAAGAGGCACATAAGTTCCTCAGTCTTCTAATATCATGTTCATTTGTCCACTATAATCTATCTTGTTCATAATTATTATCGCATTTGCTTTGTTTCGTAGCGTGAAGTCCAGGATCTTTCCTTAATTCATGGTATAACTTAACAAATCTTTGAGGACAGTTGTGCTACACAGCTCACACCTCTGTAACACAACTGTCATCAAAGATTTGTTGAGTTATACCATGAATTAAAGAAAGATCCTGAACTTTACCTTGCCAGAAAGAGCAAATGCGGTAGTAATTATGAACAAGGAAGATTATAGTGGAAAAATGAACATGTTATTAGAAGACAGGGGGACTTACGTGCCTCTTAAAATTCAATACACCAAAAAATCGCTATCATAATGAACGTAGTGTAACAGCAATATTTAATGTAAAATAATAGATTAAGGTCTTTGCAGCAAACAAGGCGTTGGTTTCTGTTGCAGAGAAAAGCTTAGACTATGAAAGAAAACAAACAATCATCTGGTTAAAAAAAAAACAATAGAGTATAAAAAAGCAGACGTAATAAGGAATACAGATATTTTTTATATATTCTTTCCCGTTCCACTTATTTCTCTTCATAGGTTAACATAAACGTGTGAAAGCATAACTTGTTAAATATTCCACATCTATAACCATTTTAGCACACGTATATTAAATAATATATGAAATTACAGAAAGTTCAGATGATGACTTGCTGCTAAGCCGTCAGCTACCTGAGCGAGGTAAGTTACTTAACAAAATCCTTGGCTCAAAAAAAAAAAAGAGAGATATATTGTGTCACTTTGCTATTTTTCATTTGTATATTTAATGTAAAAAAAATTCTACTCTTAACTCTCGTGTGGTACTAATGCTCAGAATTAATATTTCCTCTGAAGTGCTGCATTATCACTTTTTCAAAAGTCAAAATATATTTTTTTAGTTATCATTTTATTAGATTACAGTTCATGTACAAATGTACAATATCAAATTTGATTCCACAAATAACTCTCAATTTTTTTTTGTTTTGCCATCATTAATGTCTATAATTTGTTAAAATTATTTAAATATATTATGAATGCATGGTTACGTGAGAACTGCAAATTCCAGCCATAAGTCGAGGCAAGTGATTGGGGTCCAGGAACTCGTTTTAATTATTATTATTATTATTATTATTATTATTATTATTATTATTATTATTATTATTATTATTATTATTATAATTACTATTATTATTATTATTATATTATTATTATTATTATTATTATTATTATTATTATTATTATTATTATATTATTATTAATATTATTATTATTATTAGAAGCAGCAGCAGTAGTAGTACGTTTAACATATAACTGCATTCATGCAGTGCTTGGGAAATGGGAGGTAAACTGGACTGATCCAAGGAGGGGGGATAGCTCCAATTCCATGAACCACGAGCCCTTCAATGGCAGCAAAGCACCGTACTTTTTCCATAGACCTGACTAACACAAGAAGTGTCACCAGAAGACATGAACACTTGTCGTAGGTACTGGGGAGACACATGAAGTGTTACCAGAAACCTTGAACACTTGACGAAGGCACTAATGGAGACACATGAAGTGTTACCAGAAGCCATGAACACTTGTCGTAGGTACTGGGGAGACACATGAAGTGTTACCAGAAACCTTGAACACTTGACGAAGGCACTAATGGAGACACATGAAGTGTTACCAGAAGCCATGAACACTTGTCGTAGGTACTGGGGAGACATAAAGTATTACCAGAGTCGGAATCATTCTTACATGCCTTGTTGCTGGTGAAGGGCTCTGCATCCAAGAAATTTGAGCCATCCTTCCCCATAAACCTGATTTCCTCCCATTCCCCACGAACTGTGTGACCCATACGTATTTAGTGCTTCCTTATGATTAAAATAACAGCAATTCCACCAACAACAATAAAAGTAATAATAATAATAATAATTATAATAATTATAATAAAATTAGCAGTAATAAAGAAATAATTTTAATGATTATATTTCTCAGAACTTTTAGCATAATTAAATGGAGAAAGAAATAACGTATTATATTTTTTTTGTTATGCTACGACTGAATAAAATATGAATATTTTACTGTAATCACAATCTGGGTACAGTATAATAATTTTTTACCGCAATGATAGTGATAATTACATATTTTTTTTATTTTTTTAATTGGAATTTGTCATATGTCGGGCATAAAATGGGAACGTGACTGGGATCCTTTTTTTATGGATGTAAAAATGGTCGACTTATAGCTGAGAATATAAACATCTGTGTATATTATGTGTGCATGTATAAACACCTGTGTTGGTGGTGTGTCAACTGCAAGATATCTCTGCATTTAACATGATACAAATCCATTATATGCAGAGCAGATACTTAGGGAAGTTATGACTCACGAAATCGTAATGATACGATTGCAAACAAACCAGAGTACAGGTGTGGCTCACGCGCTGGCCTGGAATTTTACGACTCACTTGCCGCGAGTTCCATCCCCACCCGTACCGTGGTTTGTTAAGGGACGTCGTTCTCTCGCTCTTAGTAGAGCTTAATCACGTTACTCAGAGCGAGATGTGGTATGCTTTTCTCTCCTAAAGTGACCCCTCCCTCCCCCTCTTTTTTTATACAATATCTGCCGGTTAGTCTCGCTTCCTTCACCACGAGTTTTCCTCTATATAGTCATTGAAATCCTTCCACTTGTTCTCTACATTCATTTGAGAAGAATCTCTTCTTTATTTCGCCCATTTTTATGCTTAATTGGCAATCTTAACTTCTTTTGGTACATTATTTACGTTTGCGTATCCTCTTGGCGCATTCTGAAAAAAAATCTAAATTAATAACATTCGCCCATTTAGTGCTTAAGTGTTTTATTTATACTTAACAAATATGGTTCCATGCAAGGTGTTTAATGTGTTCATAGGTCGTGATAACTTTCGTGTACCCAAGAGAAACTGTTGAGGTTAGAGGCGGAGTTTGGGGGGGAGGTGTATTATTATTATTATTATTATTGTTATTTTATTATTATTATTATTATTATTATTATTATTATTATTATTATTATTATTATTATTATTATTATTATTTTCACAAGAAATGCTAAACCCATTGGAGGATGTGCAAGGTAGGAAGTTGAAAGTGAATTAAATATTACGTGTCAGACTGGAGGGAAAAAGCGTATGGAGAAAGTGAATATTCTTAAATATCTGGGAGTGAGTGTGTGTGTGTCGGTAATTCATATATTAGAGACGAGCTGAATCGGAATAGACGAGTGGAAAGGAGCGTTGAGATGTCAGCATCAGAGCGCAGTGGTGGAGATACTTTTGAGTGGGTGTGTGGACCAGTCATTGTATGTTGTTATAGATAGTAGGAGCAGAAATATCGTATTTAAGATTAATATGTGGTGTGAATCTTATGTACAGACTAAGAGGTAAAGAAATTAGAAGATGGTGAGGGTTTCTTTTCATTAGGGGGGGGGGGGAAGGTATAATTCAAAATGTTGAAGAAAAGTTTTCGAAGTCATTAGGAAGCTTCAGGCTAGATGGAGAGTCGCTTTTGGGGTAATGGTTAAAAGAAGGATTTGAAGATCCATCCTGAAAGTGGGTGCATAATGTGTAGTACAGTGACAACAATCTGAAGGATGGGAGAAAATGATGCAGTCTTAGTGTATTTCCTTCGGGTCAGACGCACTGAAATCACTGCTATCCGAGGTCTATGCTCGAGCATAAATTTTCACCCAACACTCAGATCGATACCTAGGTTCATTTGCTGTCGATGTGAGGGGCCTCGGTGGCACAAACAGTACAGTGTTATGCCCATCTTCTTGAAAGACGATTGAGGAAATGAGTCTTTAGAGTCACCCGGCTTTGGTGGGAAATGTGCTAAAATTAAACGCCAAAAAAAAGTAGTAATACACAATAAAAAACGTTGGTGACCATGCTAAAGATTCTGCAAAGTTCTTATACTTCCTTTTGGGCACAGTGATATGTTGTTGCTGGATTCCTCATCCCTTAAAACTGACTGTTTGGACTTTAAACTAGTTTAAGGAAGGTAAAGGCATAGGTAGACCTTTTATTCCTGTATGATTGTGATCTAGGAACAGTTACTTCTGTTCACTTTAATGCTTAACCCTTGAACAATCTACCAGTCAGTTTTCACTTATGTCAACAAACTGCTAGATGCAAATGTATGACGGGAATAAATTAGGTTTCATCAATGAGTTTTTGTTCCAAAATTTAGTCGTAGAAGAAGAGTACGATCTCCTACGTGTACATTAAGAGAATGTACGACAGGATCATTATCAGCTTGTGAAACAAACTTTTCTCATCCTGAAGTGTAGAACCACTGGTTCTCTTTTCCTGACATTCCTCATCCTTTATTATAGTTCCACTCTATTTTTTATCACCACATCTTTATCCTGGTACAAAAGTACAGTACACGTACAGTAGGTGACCCTCACTAATTAATAAGAGTTAATACAAACATGCCTGTATTTCTGCACCGCATTTCTACTCAGGGTATGAGCACTTTAAAGCATGTAAATATTAGTAAATGGTTTTAAGTTTACAGTAAAAACGGTAGGTACTTATTCAAAGGTGACCAGCATGACTTGCTTTTTCAGATGGTTTTTGTAATATTAAATGCTTCATATTTACTGAAGACTCAGGCTGGGCGTTTTTATGCATAGAAAATGGAATATCAAAAGTACTATAGTATATATTTTTTTGCTATGCCTGGGCACTAAAAACATTCTGCTATTGGTCCTCTACCTTGCTAAAAAATTATACGTAGTTGTATTTTTAAATTTGTGTTTATCTGCAGTATTATCATCGCATGAAAGTTATTAGCAATTGTCCAAAATTTATTAATCTTTAGTTTTTTGTAGAGAAGTTGTTAGAATACCGGCCTTAGTTTTCAAGTTATGGGCTAAAGATTTGATCAAGTCAGTACCTCATAGACAAAGGATAAAATCACTGGTGCTCCGTCCACCCAGATATCATTGGATATCTGATGCTGTGGGAAGGTATAGTTTAAGGAACGAGGTATATCAGTTATAAATATACAGTATATGAATTAGGACTGTAAACCCACTGCGACCTGCTCAAGTGCTAAGGTAATAGAAATCCTGTTTGTATATTTTAACAGCCATTGTTCCAGCTTACTCTAGGAGCTCTTTTTTTTTTTTATTTAGGCGTTTTGTGATATACAGGACTGTAAATGAGTAAGAAGGATTTGAGTTTGCAGATTTTCCAGGTTTAGTGAGCAAAAGTGGTAAGTGTAACAGGTAAAACAATTTCTTTCTTGCTGTGAATATATTTTTTGCCCTCAGATTGTTATTTTTCCTCTTTTTTTTTCGTTTATTTTGAAGGTTTTGCTGCCAACTTATGCAGTGAACTTCAGCTCAATCAGTAAGATCTCGTACATGATTGAAAGGTCATTCATTTTAAGAATGACTTTCATGTAAGTGTTTACTTTCATTTTTGCTTCCTTTATAAGGATGTTTTAAGTGTCTATATTCAATAACTACACAACTGATTGTTGATCAAATCCCTTTTTGTTATCTGATATCTCTTTAAATGGCCAGATATATCAATCCCTACTCCAGATATTTTCCATTTTCTGTTTATCTTTGGCCTGGTGACTGTGGTCTTCCTCGGACCACAATTTTGTCAGCATGGCTACACTTGCTTTGGATTTGTTTTTCCTGTGATGGTGTGTAATATTCCTTCACAGCTAGTCTTGGCATTTAATCCTGCACCTTCAGATCACAGTAATTATTTTTATAGCTCATCCACCATGCTTTCCTTTCGCTTTTATTTATGTGAGTTTAAGTACTATAATTTCACATAGGACTGTGCTTTCATGATAAGTTAATCTGCCTAGGAATTTCAGGAGGCTTGGATTTTCTTTTTCACTTCTTAGGCAAGGTAGAGTCAATGAGCAACAACATAGCAACAGGAAGTGAAGCGCTTTGAGCTGTCTTAGTGCCTGGTTGTAGATTTCGCAGCCTCTCTTATCTGCACTTTATTCCAGTGGATGTTTACGTTATACTCAACATAGACTCTAATACTTTGTTGACTACTGAGAATTTATTTTTATGTACGGAATTATTTCAACTCGTTTCAATCCTTCCAGTTATGGTTAAGTATTGTTTAGAGGAAAAAAAGTGTACAGAAAATTGTGACTATTGAAATTTAATGGATACTAGTAATTTTTCACATGGATTATTTTTTATTATTAAACAAAATATCAGCATTAATTAAAGATGTTCACCGCAGAATCTAAAATATTAAAAAAAATATTATTGTTACAAATGTAAATGATCTGTAACTTTCTTAAATAACATGTTTGTTGTTAAAATGGTAGATTAATATACTGAATATATAAATAAACAAACACAAAAGTGTTTATTGTGTTGCAGTATTCCTGCTTATGTAATAAGTTATGTTCATTGTCTGCTTGCATCACAGTGCTACAGGAAGTGATACATACACAGTAGACTCTGCTTATTGTTTAATATTTTTTTGAGAACTGTAATACATTTTGAAATATATTCTGCTAAAGAGCCAGACTTTGTTATTATGGCACCTGAAATACTGAAATAATTTCATCTTATTTAATACTGGAAGAAACTCAGTTAATATTGGTAACTGTCACGAGGGATGTTTTCAGAAAGGGGAAAAAATTAATCTGATGTGTACAATGTTCATACTGAAGTTTATGGAGCATAAATTACCTCATTGTTTACAGACTACGACTTCAAGGGCTTATATGAAAGCCCAGCATGGCATAGCATAACAGATGGGACTTACAGTGAAGATGAGGGCCCGTTATCTCATCTCCATATCCGCAAAGCTAGTGGAGACGCGTCTCTACCTAACACACAGGTGAGGGGATGACCTACACTGGACTGATACATTCTTACACCACCTGTGAGCTGGTCTTGTAGTCTTCAATAAATAAAAAAATAAAACAGTTCAGACATTGATTATTGACAATTTTTTTCTTAATTTTCCGATGTCTACTTTCTAAGGAATGTTTTTTTCTCTCTCTCAAAGTTTTCTCTCATCTGTTCCTGTGTCATTACATTGACATTACTTATAGACTGCTATCGAGTTCCGTGCTTAACTTTATTGATTTTAAATTTACGTTTTGTTATTATATAGGTCATTACTATCCAGGGAATATGCGTTTCGTGAACCTACAACTGCTAATTGAAAGAGGCATTCTTGTGATTCTTGTAGGATTGTATGGTCCTGTGGGTTAGAACGTCGTGAATTTTCGTTCACCATGAGGAGAGCTAAAACAATACGGGTTCGATCCCCCGGCTAGTCGCAGTGTTATTAAATACCACTCGTTCGTGGTATTTAATACATGGGATCATACAAGCTCTTTTCACTGTGTTTACCTGTGGTCTGGAGACATTAACAAACAATAATTTGAATTCCTTATATTGAAATATTTTGCGGTAAATACATAATGATGATAATGTTTCTGGGTATGTAAGGTTTTAGTATGTAGGGTGGGTTTGTTATATAATAAGTTAGACCCAGAGAGTCGAGTCATTGCAAAAATTTTTGGTACTAAACCCCGCTGTGTCTGTTGACAGCTCTGTTAATAAATAACTGAAGCTTAAAACTTCTGTTTGTGTGTTTAGCAGTCTGGGAAATTTTTCCTTGTGACTTTCACTACTGTTGTTATGCCACCTCTTGCAAGACCTGGTGAATTTTTCCATTACCCTATTAATTTCTTATCAAATATATTAAAATTTTTCTTCACGGGCTTAGTCGTACTTTCACTTGTCACGGCGATTACTTTCACTTGTCACGGCGATTACTTTCCCCTAAGACCTTTGTGATTAGAACCAACTCTTAGAATCACAATTTTTTCCCCTCTGTATACTTTGGCATCTCATGAAATTAGCATTCCTGACTAGCCTCTACTAAAACTGTCTTGGTTCATTGAAAACTTTCCGACAAACCTCGCCGATATGTATTTTCCTCTTTGTGGCTAACTGGTCAGTTTTCGTATAGCCCTGTTTTTAATATTTTGTTATTGGGTATGGTTTAATATTGTCCTTTTAATTTAATAATATATGGCTATTTAATCATCTTGCCTCAAGAAAAACTACTTGTTTTAATCGACATGTGAGAGATCATGATAATGACACTAATGGTTTAATTTACAGGGTGGAATAGAGAGCAACAAATGGCGCAAGAGCTTGGTAGGCAATGAACAAGATGACTCTATTCCAAGAAAAGAAAGCAACACACCAGACTGGGAAGAAGCTGGGATGGGATGGGTCAACAGGTAGAACACAAGCAAGGTATATCACACATCTCCGGCAGAGTTGCAAGAACAAGATCATCATCTCTATAAAGAGACATAAGGCAGAAAAAAAAGGCTTTGTTCGGGACGTTCCGCTCTAAAGTGAGCTTTATCAAGACTTAATGAAGCTTCTGAAAGAAACGTGGCCTAATATAAAAATGTTACCCTGCATGACTCTTCTTTACACCTCCTAGTCGCCTTGCACCAGTCAGCAGCACCAACTCTGCCTGGTGACACCTGTTCGTCTTGACTTTGCGTTTTCGGACTTGTCTATAAAAGGAGGTTGGCAGACAGGACGTATGAGATAGTGTAAGAAATGATGACATATCAATTAAAGAAAAGCTTTCAAGCTAATAAGTCCAATGCAACAGTCGTATTTCTTACAGTAGAACAACATCATCCCCCCTAAACAGCATCAGTACAGTTTAATGAAACTGTAAAAAAAAAAATACTCATTAATAAAAATTAAGTAGTTTCGTGAATGACTGATATATGAAAAAAGTGTTTGTATGTATTGCACTAGAATATATGCTGTAAATTATATGTTTAAAAATATAATTGCATTACCGTCAGTTTGCCATCAACATAATTATTTAAAACAGATTTGATTTCTTCTTGGGCATACAGTTCTTGAGTTATGTAGACTCTTTTGTAGTTTTCCTTCAGGCAAGGATCAACCCAATGCATTATTACTGCATTATTACTGCATTAATGTATTCACCTGGGAGCACAGTGCTGCATATTGTCTGATATTACCCCCCTCCAAAATGATATCAGTAAATTGATGTACTGCAGAGGTTAATCAAATCTCCAATTAGTGTCAACTACAATGTGTATATTATAGTAATTTCAATTAAAAAATAGTTATTTTGCACTAAAAGCACATGTTAGTGTTGTGAGAAACTAAAGCTTCCATGGGGGTGAATTCAGCTGGGACAAAGTAGTGGAAAGAAAATCACATTTCGCGATGTTTGTGCACATGTAACATTTTACGATGTTTGTGCACATGTAACATTTTACGATGTTTGTGTACATGTAACATTTTACAATGTTTGTGCACATGTAACATTTGTTTTGGTTGTAGAGACGTGATGCCGAGAATTATGTGTATAAAGGCTATACGTGGAGCAAACTTTTATTGGGTCAACGTTTCGCTCATGGCGCAGATTCATCATAACTTGATAAAGCTCTTCCCTGAGTGAAATGTAGCGCCAATAAAACTTGTTCTCCATAGTGTGTCTTCTTATCCTAATTTTTAATTAAGAATCATAGATATGATACAAAATTTGCTAAAAAAAAAAACAAGGTTGGTTTAATTAAAAAAAGAATTTTACGCATTTATTGACAATATACATTTAAAGGGACAAACTATTGTGCTTTATGTATAATTTCCTGAATATATGAAGGATTTACCAGACAGCAAAATCGTATATATATATATATTTGTACTGTTGGGATATCAGGTATCTTAAGTGTGTCTCTTTCTTGATTTTTTTTATCAGTACGAAATGTATGAGAAATAATAATTATCAGTAATGACAAGGAGTTAAAAAATAGTTTTGATTTTTATGTTCAACTGTGTGAGTGTGTGTTTGAGTGTATTAACTTATTTGTAGTTGCAAGGGTCGATTCACAGCTCCTGGCCCCGCCTCTTTGCTGGTCACTACTAGGTCAACTCTTTTCTTGCTCCATTGGCTTTATCATACCTCTTCTTAAACCTATGTATGGATCCTGCCTCCACTACATCACGCTCCAGATTGTTCCACTTCCTAACAACTCTGTTACTGAAGAAATACTTTCTAACATCCCTGTGACTCGTCTGAGTTTTCAGCTTCTAGGTGTGTGTGTGTGTGTGTGTGTGTGTGTGTGTGTGTGTGTGTGTGTGTGTGTGTGTGTGTGTACAATAAAACCTCCTTATCCAGAGCCAGTCTTCTAACTTCCTCAAGAATATTCAGCCACTTGCAGACTTATTTATTCCAATGAATTTAAATTCTTAAACTCAAAAAAATCACTGGCAAGTTTTGTAATGAACCTTCACGCAAAAACTACTGTATAGCCACCAAAAAAAACTACCAGATCTTGTCACATCTTACACTTGTATGGAAGCTACATTCATTTGCATATTACCGCATTCTATGACCACTGACCTAGCAAGTAGCATCGTAGACTTTCCCAGACCTTAACCTTGGCCTGCATTTGGCTTATTAACAGGTTATGCAATGCATGTCAGTACTTTTACAAGTTATGACGGCTCAAGTATAGCAGTCAAAAATCTCTATTCCATTTGACCTTGTTTCTTTGCTCTCTGGCTACGAGGAACTTTTACTCATGTTTGTATGCATGTTAGAACACTTAATTAACCCAGGTTGAAAGCCTCGAGACTCGCCTTATTTTGAGCAAAAAACTTGTACCAATATCTATGACAATAATTTTAAAAGGGTTCTTCTACTGTAGACTCCTGAAAGATAGAATTCGTCAACAATTACGGGGCTGCAGCTTATTGTCCCAGCTGACTCCACTCCTGGATTATTACAGTAGTGTGCACTACACACCCAATAGTTTCGTGTCGTTTCGTGTCTCCTTATACAAAGTGAATTAGAATTTTATATTCATTTCTATGTATCATAAGCGGAATAAACTCTGGTCAGTAAGGATTTTACTATGTGAAACAAAAATTGAGATTCATCTTATCTTATTATGATCTTTTGTACAGTTTTCTTTGAGCGTGGATGTGCAGCTTGACGTTTCCCGTCTCAGTACTTCAGTTGGTGTTCACTTAAGAGGGTGCTCACTTAAGAGGGTACTCACTTAAGAGGGTGCTCACTTAAGAGGGTGCTCACTTAAGAGGGTGCTCACTTAAGAGGGTGCTCACTTAAGAGGGTGCTCACTTAAGAGGGTGCTCACTTAAGAGGGTGCTCACTTAAGAGGGTGCTCACTTAAGAGGGTGCTCACTTAAAGGGTGCTCGCTTAAGAGGGTGCTCACTTAAGAGGGTGCTCACTTAAGAGGGTGCTCACTTAAAAGGGTGCTTACTTAAGAGGGTGCTCACTTAAGAGGGTGCTCACTTAAGAGGGTGCTCACTTAAGAGGGTGCTCACTTAAAAGGGTGCTGACTTAAGAGGGTACTCACTTAAAAGGGTGCTCACTTAAGAGGGTGCTCACTTAAGAGGGTGCTCACTTAAGAGGGTGCTCACTTAAGAGGGTGCTCACTTAAGAGGGTGCTCACTCAAGAGGGTGCTCACTTAAGAGGGTGCTCACTTAAGAGGGTGCTCACTTAAGAGGGCGCTCACTTAAGAGGGTGCTCACTTAAGAGGGTGCTCACTTAAGAGGGTGCTCACTTAAGAGGGTGCTCACTTAAGAGGGTGCTCACTTAAGAGGGTGCTCACTTATGAGGGTGCTCACTTAAGAGGGTGCTCACTTAAAAGGGTGCTCACTTAAGAGGGTGCTCACTTAAGAGGGTGCTCACTTAAAATGGTGCTCACTCAAGAGGGTGCTCACTTAAGAGGGTGCTCACTTAAGAGGGTGCTCACTTAAGAGGGTGCTCACTTAAGAGGGTGCTTACTTAAGAGGGTGCTCACTTAGAGGGTGCTCACTTAAGAGGGTGCTCACTTAAAATAGTACTCACTCAAGAGGGTGCTCACTTAAGAGGGTGCTTACTTAAGAGGGTGCTCACTTAGAGGGTGCTCACCTAAGAGGGTGCTCACTTAAGAGGGTGCTCACTTAAGAGGGTGTTCACTCAAGAGGGTGCTCACTTAAGAGGGTGCTCACTTAAGAGGGTGCTCACTTAAAATAGTACTCACTCAAGAGGGTGCTCACTTAAGAGGGTGCTTACTTAAGAGGGTGCTCACTTAGAGGGTGCTCACCTAAGAGGGTGCTCACTTAAGAGGGTGCTCACTTAAGAGGGTGTTCACTCAAGAGGGTGCTCACTTAAGAGGGTGCTCACTTAAGAGGGTGCTCACTTAAGAGGGCGCTCACTTAAGAGGGTGCTCACTTAAGAGGGTGCTCGCTTAAGAGGGTGCTCACTTGAGAGGGTGCTCACTTAAGAGGGTGCTCACTTAGAGGGTGCTCACTTAAGAGGAAACTCTTCAAAGTTTTGTAAGACTGAAAAGTGACGTGTGTGTCTCAAAACATATGGGATCCTGATGCTTAAAACTATTAAGTAGAGTTATATGTGGATACCTTTATGGTGGGATATAATGACACCTAGAGTCGATTCCTTTGATAACGACCACTTTGATAACGACCACTTTACGTCCACACAGGGAGCAAGATGAACGTCATGGACTTAACTCTGCCCACTGTATGGGCGAAACGTTGTCCTTAATGGAAGTATCCACTGCTTATGTCATTTATTCCAGCTTTTTTCAATTTGTTGATTTTTTGTATCATATTATTTTCAAAGTGTCGAATGATTAATGACTCACAGGGCAGTTTTGAAGTGTGATATTACCATATCATAGTCAATAAAATCCACTCAACTCTTGTTGTTTTTTCTCACTTTAAGAAAATCAGTAGTTTCGCTGTGAAGAAACAACAGTCGCAGTGCCGTGGCTGGAACAAGTCATCAAACTCCCAGGAGAGGAACCTTATAATAGTGGTTCAGGGTGGACAGAAACATCTTCAGTAGGTTTCGCCCCATAATTTTCGCTAATTTATGATTGAAGTACAGCGCCTGACGTTTTTAAGAGGGACCCTCAGACGGAATCACCAAAGCCACAAAAATCACGAAAGTCTGATAAAGAGAGAGAGACAGTTTGGCGAAGTCTCTTGAGCAAAGGACTCTGAGATACCCTTCTTTTCCTTGGGTCAAGCCAGATACCCTACCATTTCCCCAGCAGCGCTATATAGCCCTTGTGGTTTAGCGCTTCTCTTTGTTTATAATAATAATAATCCCATTCCCCAAGCCGTTGTATGACCCCCCTTACGGGTTTAACTCCTCCCCGTGACTTTAATAATAATTGATTATCAATGGACGTGTAAGTAGTAAGTTGACCTACGCAGCACAAACACAAATTTCTACGAAGATAACTGGGTAAATTCTAATATATATATATAATATATATATATATATATATATATATATATATATATATATATATATATATATATATATATATATATTATATATATATATATATATATATATATATATATATATATATATTTTATATATATATATATATATATATCGTGTGACCAAAGCTCGACCGGATGACCCAAATCTGTCATTGCAGCTTTTGGTCACCCGATCGAGGCCTTCCACTGGCTTACCCGTCAACCCCTTTAAAAATTAATATTAGTAGGTATTAATTTAACAATATATATTTCGGATTATACACATTATATTAAATCTAAAACAGACCATGAAGAAGTAAACAATAAATACGTCGCGAAGGATAAACAGGAAATATCAAATTTTTAAGTGTTTTTATTTAGCACAAATAAATTTGAATAAACCAATTTTAAAATAGTGATTGACCCCTAAAAATGAAATTCACGCGAGAAAATGTTAATGAGTAGCAAGACCGTAGTGGGTCTGGACCTGGTTTTTCATAGTTTTTATTTTATGATCCTCTTTCTGTGTGTCTGTATATATATATTATTGTGCCCACGAACAAGTGGTATTGATGAATAACAACACTGCGACTAGCCAACGACTCGAACCCCATACTGCTTTGGCCTGCCTCATGGTAGGCTAGTCGCAGTGATGTTATATATATATATTATATATATATATTATATATATATATATATATATATATATATATATTATATATATATATATATATATATATATATATATATATATACATAGTGTGTGTGTGTGTATTTATGTATATGTATGTATGGATGTATTTTGTGTATGCGTGTATGTAAAAAGAGCTTCTTCTTTCGCTTCTAATGACCAGAGCTTTGGTAAGATGGGGAAGGAAGAAGGATGGGTAAGGATGGAAATATTGGAAGAGGGTTGGAGGGGGGGGAGAGGTAGGATATAAAAGGTAAGTGGCCCAACCACTTTGGTGTAATTTAAAAAGTGTATTTGAATTGATAAGATTATTTTTTAAGAGGTATAATACTAACCCATCAGAGTCACATAGATATAATAGGTATATAAGTACATGACTCTGAATTGGTTGTAATTATACAAGTTGCAATTGCTTTTTTTTTTTTTTTTTTTTTTTTTTTTTTTTTTTTTTTTTTTTTTTTTTTTTTTTTTTTTTTTTTCGCGATTGCACAACGGATATTTATACGACAGG